TTTGTCATAATAAAATTACTTAATTTATTTTAAATCTCAATAAATTATAATGAATATATATTGTCGCTACGAGACAATTTATTAAATAATTGATCGTGAAACAAGACTTTTGATGAGAAAATTTTCGATCGAGGCACGCATCGAGCCTCTTAAATATCCTTATATTCACTACACTCACGTTTATATTCAAATTGTTATGGGATGATGATATACACGATGCTAATATAAATGTACGACAAACAAATAATTTCACATACGAATGTCAGTCAATATACATAGCACATAAGTTCGATTATTTCTAAAATTTCTTAAAATTGTATAATTAGTGCTCTTTCATATGCAAATAGTCATAAATCTTATATAATTTATCGCTCTAAATGGCAGTTGTATAAATTATAATCAGAAAATGAAACACGCATTTCCTTTACAAACTAATAAAAATCTTTTCGCAAAAGTCATTCCCCAATTGACTAATCCTCTAAAGAGCGGAAGATCCGAGAGAGCGCGTTCTTTCGAAAATGAATTTCCTGGCTAAAGTAGATAAGATCGACTTACCAAAGAATCTAGAGACATGACGAAAAGCAGGCGAAATCTGGACGCTCATTGATGAAGTTCATCGGCCGGGAAAAGTAAGACGAGGTCCACCACCTCGAGACCTTCGCGAGCACATCCGGTGCGACTTTTACCCAAGCATCGCGAAGACGAGACAAAAAACATTCTTGGCGTCGCGGCCATCTTGTTGAGCTTCTCCTACCCCTCAAACACCCACGACGAGCTTCTAACTTTAGAGATTGGCACCCCGCAGGTAAATAGGTTATGTAAACGCGCCCGGCCTGTCTTTAGCCCGTGTCTTTTCTTTGCATTCTTTCATTCGGCTCTTTCTTGCTGCGTATCTCAACGTGTCTCGAGTAAATGTTGAGAGAAAAAAGAAGGAAGCAAAACAAAGATCAAGACGGCTTATCACGATTGTTTATCGAAGGACGTGGGCTGATTTTAGCACTGTTGTGCACGGAACAAGAGGACTACAAGAGGATAGGTCAAGTTATTTTATCCGAAACCTATGCCCGGGGCTGTAACTCAATGTTCACAATGTCAAGCATTGTGATGCACATGATGAGACGACGGGGGTATTTTAATCTGTAGCGAGATTGATGGCTGTTGATGATTTTGCTGTGTTTCTCCACTAATATTATTCGCGATTTGTACAAGTCCGGATTTATTAATGCTTATTTATCTTGCTAAAATATCTATTTTAAAAGTAAATTACAAACTTCTCTGCCGGATTATGTTTATTTACGCGATCGTGTCGAAAGTTGCCGAGCGTCTCAAGTAAAATAATTGATTTTATTATGCTTTTAATGTCTTTAATCAATGTCAAACATTTCAGGGAAGAGCAAAATAATACCACTGACTGAGTCAATGCGAACGGAGTTGAAATAAGCCATTCTTCGCTACGATGTAAATAAATAAACAAAAACAAACAAACTAATAAAAAAAAAAACAAAAATTAATAATAGAGAATAACGACAGTGACGAACGCGAGAGTCAACGTGATGCGCGAGCATCAAAATTTTGTAAATCGACAGTTTGGTATTTGCGAATAAACGGGAGCTGGCTTTTGCATGATAAGTGCCAGCAATTGATCAAACGCTTCGTCTGCGACAACAAAGGCAAAATCATAATAGCGTTAAATATATATATGTCCAAGACTCCAGCCAAAAAAAAAAAAAAAAAAAAAAACTAGCACCTGCAGTTACGCCATAATTTTATGTTCGATTCGATTTTTTTTTTTTTTTTTTTTTTTTTTAACATTATGCACACTTGAACCCACGGAGGTGAATCCTCGCTTATTTCAATCGTGCCCTTTGAATCCTCTGACACCTCAACTATTTGTCCAATGATTTCCTGGGCTTTCTAAACGGGGGTCGACGAACCGCTGACTCGAGCACACTAGACACTCGCGGAGACTCTCGTTTACATTCCGGCAAAATAGATGCCCTTGGATTGAAATTGTTTTCTTCTAATGAAGCTTAACTCCATTTAATATGAAGCGACATCCTCTTGATGAAAATCTCTTAGCAATAAGGGGAGCCGAGCCTTCATAAACGCAAGATCCAAATCGTAGGGGCCAGACACTCTCTATAAGTGCGATGGTGTGAAGATAATTTGATAAGCTCCATTGTATTCAACTGTCATACGCATTTGGCTCTTCATTTTATCTTTACGATTTCGAGCTGTCAATCTTTATACACTGTAATATGAGTCGCAGCTTTATTGCGAATTTGTCAATTTTCTCTTTTAAGTTAACTTTTTAGAAGGCATTTGGTCTTACATGAGTCAATGTGGAGTTGAAATGAGAAATTATTAATAGATCGTATGGCTCGTCCATTATTAAGATTGATAATTGTCAATAATTGTTAAGCTGTGTTATGGAAGTATGGATGAATTATTGGTAATATTTTTTTTCTTAGTTTAATTTTCTCCGCCTTTGCATTTATTGTCAAAGTAAAGTATTTCCATTTACTCGCGCTTATATCTCTAGACATTTGGTAAAATTGAAATCTATAATTGTCATCTATGTACAATTTTTTGTAATCACAACGAGATAAAATAATGTGACGGACGTTCGACAGTACTAGTAAAAGGTAAAATTTCTCAGATAATGGACGCATACCCGACTTCCTTTTCATTTTCCAATGAAAAATGTTATAATACATGTAGAATGGGCAGCCGGCTATTTTACGACATTTTAATAATTATTCGTGAGAATTACTGTGAATAATAAAATTGAACTTTCAATTGCCGAGCGTCGTTTGAAAGGCCGATTTCACTTTAAATGATAGAGGAGCACGATATATCTCAAAATACAACGATGAAAAATGTAAAAATTCCGCGCGAGTTTCTTGGAAATGCGTAATATTAACGGGACATCTAAGACTAAAATCAAAGACGAAAAATTCACGATATACTAGGTGGAGAAATAAGAGATAGGTTAACCGATAAGAGCAAATTGTGCTGGGAGTCCGATATTAATTTGTGAAAATCTCAGAGAATGATTTTATTGGGCAAGAGGCTGAGAGAGGCCCATGAGAATATTAAGGTGGTCGTTTTTAATCAAATTAATTTCAAGAATTATTTTATAATGAGGAGATCGGTACTCTTGAGATCGCCTATCGGGCAACACATCAGCACGTCCTACGATCCTTATCAATTCCAGGCCTCTCATTATACTCCTCATAAGCCACATCTACTTCTTAAATGCTCTATGATTTCCAATTCCCAAAGTCTTAATCACGTTTCAAATAATTGTGTTTTTATTCAAATGCTCTTTTAACGAGTGACGCACCTATTATGCGAATCCTCCTAAATCAATTCTAATGGCTGTCTCTACTTGATTTTTACATTAGCTGGATTACTGCAGACGTCAGATTTATACTAATTACTTGGCCCATCTTGCCGTGCAAATCTTTGAAAATATTCTATCCTTTATATTTATAATAGTATATCTGCTTAGCAATCATCGAGCATTTCTCACACGTAGATTGTTGAATTTTTGGCACTCATTCGATTTACCTTCCCATTAAAATTACGACAAATCTCTTCTTCAATGGAAGCGAGCATAGACAATTATTATAAAGCATTAATAAGAAATTGATATAAAGATTAAAAATGATTGAGAGCGCCAATAGTTATTTCGATTGATTTTTATCGATAAAAATAATTCCAACTTATCCCTTCAATTTATCCCTCAATATTTGTAAATTAAAAGATTGTGATGATTTGATTTCATAGACTAGTAATGTAAAAATGAAAACTTTTTGACTTATTTATTACGTGTTAAAGTGATAGAAGATTTAGAATAATTTATAGGCGGTAGCTTAAGCCACATAACCGACATAAGAATTTACGATTATTTTCAATATTTTATGATGATTGTAACGACGAAAGGTCGCGAATAATAATGATTTTATGAAATTTTGGAATTTGGAAAAATCAATGCTAAAGATTGATATGGGGCAAGAGGTGGACATTAAACTACCGAAGCCTGAGCCTGAAATCCCGACATTAATCAAGATGTTATTGAATTTAAAAATAATATGCATCGAGGCGAATGATTTATATAACATTTTTTTTTTTATTTTTTTTTTTTTTTTTTTTTAATTTTTAAGAAAGAATTTTAGAGTCTAATTTATCGTTTTGATTCGTTAACGCGACGAAGTATCTAGTATATCAATCTCAACTAACTTCAGTTCTCTTGAATTTTAGCCATATTACATATTAGTATATTCCTGTCTTTATACTTTATATTTAACAATTATAATGTTAAAGTCATGCGTTCGAGTTTGAACAAATTTATTATACGAATTATTTATTACAAAAATTTGAAACACTTTCCCCAGTGTAATTATCTCCAATAATCCATACACCAACTTGCTATTTATATGAATTTGAACATTTTAATAAGTAATTGATAATAAACGGTTGAATGATGAGTATAAAGCTTAGGAGAGGAGGTAATAATGATTCTTCGTGATCTCGACATTTGACTTGAGAAAATTAACTTCGTAAATACGCAGTTTTAATAACAAGCTTGACTAAACAAGGTAAAATTACATAGAATTTACATAGCAAGCGATATAACATGAAAATATCTCCCGAGCATTCCAAATTCTAACTATGCAAAATTATTGCAATATCCCGATCGAGCTTGGTAGGATAATCTTGCATTTTAAATGAAACTCCCGAATTATCAAAGCTTCGGTTGATTTCAATTATTCCCGATTTCTCGCGAGCCTCTCTCATCGCACAGCTGCCACAAATTTTAATTCGTGAAGCTGGTTAAAGGCCAAGTCCAGTAAATTACTCATCCACCTATTTCCAAGGTCGCGGCTATATCAGTTGGCAATAGTCGCGTGCGGACGTGCATGTAGGCCAGGCTAAAGCTCCCGCAGGACTGACGACGTACTCTTAATTAAAGTGCTCTCTCGGTGTGCTTTCAGAATCATGTTCTGCACCGCCCAGCCGGCGCACGTGATAACGATAGCAGCGGTGCTCTGCGTGACCTCGGTCGTGCTGCCGAGCTCCGAGAAGCCTGGCAACCTCGTAGCCGGTCAGCCGCACTCCCAGCTCACCTCGTTCGTCTATCTGGCCTCGTTCGTCATGCACTTTGGCTCCCAGATATGGATGACCTTCGTTTCTGGTAAGTTGGCCCTCTCTCGCTCGTCCGGGTGAGCTTATCATGCTCAAAGTGTACGGGCTTCTAATAAGTCGCATACCTCCAAGTGCCAATTGATAACGTAACTCGGACATTGCGTTGTTAGAAACGAATGTGCTTGGATGCTTCGTAATGAAATGCGTCGGTGATAAGACTCGCGAGGCGGCCCCACAAGGTATTGCCAATTAAACGTATCGAGTGTGCTTCACGACGCGTGTGCATTCGTTTCCTTCCTTTTGTGCGCATTGATTATTCCGGTTTGCCGAATGACATAAAAAAAAAGTCTTTCCCCTGTGAAAATTGAGTAACGCTGACTTTTCTATTCCGTGTTGTACGTAAGACGAGTGTTATGTTAATTGTCAAGAAATTGGATTCGCGTCTCTTTTTAAATTGCTTTTGCTTCTCATTTCGAAATGTATGATAAATCTTAAATTAATGCGAAAGGCGGGAATTCGGTGATATTATAATCTCGGCAATTTATTAATCGAGACAAAAAACCATATTACGTTGCATACGATCCTATAAGTCTTCTTACACGACAAAATAAACAATAGAGTAAGGAAACCGTCGTTGCCACATATTGCTTTATCTTTTACGAAATATTCTTTGCAGATTACGCTATGAGGATATTGAATGAGAATATGCAGAGAATGTCATTGGCCGAAGAATCATTGGTTTTTATTTGTTTTGGCACATAAATTCTACCTTCGACTTACTGCTTCTAATGCTTTATTTCGGGATTATAGTAATTTATACTTTACATTTTCCAAAATGGATATTTTGACAAGTGTTACGAGCTGACATTTTATTCATATTTTCTTAAAGCATCCTTAATTTACGTAAAATGTTTATATTCGTATAAAACATAATTGAAAAAATTCGTTTAAAAATAATTGAAATTCTACTTTTTAACGTATATAATGTCGTATATAATTATTTTTTCTTATTGACGTATTACAAATTCTTTAAAGACGATTACCTTGAAATAATATTGGAAACCTTTCACAATACGTAGATGCATTTGACTAATATTGTCATTTTTAATTTCGACTAATCACCAATAAATTAGCAAGTAAATGCATTTTATTCGTTAAATGTAATTCATAAGTATATTATAATTATAATGGCCGCAGGTTAAATTTAATCTTACGATACTATATCGCCCCTTAGAAATTGATATTTTAATCAATATGTGAAACTCGCTACCCGCTAATTTTTCTTATATGAAAAGCTAATTCAATAAGATGATAAAACACGAGCATTCTAATATAGAAATTAACGAATCTATGTATCACGATTATTTCGTTCGTTTAATCCAAAGATTTTCAAATTTGCACAGATTTTTCAAATAGATTTAAAATCTCTCACACAATAGCGATAAATTGTACAAAGTAATAGCAATTTTAATTGTACTATTTATTTAAAAAAATTAATAAAATAATAATAATAATAATAATAATAATAATAATAATAATAATAATAATAATAATAAATAATTATATAAATGAATATATAAAAAAAAAAAAAAAAATTAATATCTTGAATCTTTAAAAATGACAATACAAAAATCTGAATTCAGATTATAAATAATAGACAATGAATAATAAGAGCCCAACAGATGAATAAAGCAAAGAAAAAGAAAAAATAATAATAATAAAAACGAAATACCGAATGGAATGGATAACATCTAATGCGTGCTATATTATTTGAAATATCATAACTTTACATCCCATTCCACTTAATTATTGATTCGTAATTCCTAGAGTTCGTTAGAATGGCAATTTTTTACAAATTATTTTTTCATTATAATTGAAATAATTATAGAAATAAACAATTAAAACATGAATTAAAAACCATTTCCACATTTCAAATAAATACCCATTAATAACAAAACTACTTGCTCGAGCAAGATATATCAACATTGATTGGTGATATTGTAAGCAATGTTATAGTATTTGCACTGAGGCCTTAACATCGACCAGCAATTGAAATCTTGGCTTATTATTATTACGAAAATGTTACGTTGATACTTAAATGAAAGGATATTAAATAAAATAAGCAGCTTGAGGGGTTTGCCTCGTACGATCATTTCCTTAACGTTTCATCAGTATACCTGCTAATTTTGACATTTTAAGTATAAGTTTGCTTTCGTATCAGTATGCTCGTTATGTTATACGAAGCTTGGAATTTGATTATCTTAAAACTTAAACCGGTACATATTAAAACTACGTAAAATTTATTATAAAGTAAATATTACTTTTACGCAAATTAATATTACATTTAAGTTTTTTGTTTTCTTACATTTTGTCTTTCATTTACATAAGATAATTTAACGAAATTTTTAGTTAGATAAATGTGTAACCTGAGCAAAAGATGTGCGTAATGATTTATGGAATAGATAATCGTAAAAATAATTTGACCTCGTTTAAAACAGTATGTATTGATTTATACAAGTATTTATCTATTATTCGTTTAAAAATTATAATAAGATCAATGTAAATTATAATATGGTGAATGATGTGTCAAATTTAACATTACCTATGCTTGAAATCAATTCATAAAATGGAAAGCGTCAAAATATTAATAATCATAAAATTCGCATAATAATTCACACTGCTCCTTATATTTTAAAAGCATATGAGTGTTTTAAAATTTTTAAGTATTCAACACCTTGTGTTTTTAATGATATACCTCAACACTTAATTATATCAATTGGAGATATAAATATAAATTTGCACGCATCAGTTTTCTCGGTGTCGTGTTTCTCGTAAATGTGAATAGAAAATAAATTTTTTTTATTATATTTATAATATTATAATAGAATTTTTAATTTTGATATAAAATTTTTGTTCATATTTAAAATAGATAACCTTGTATATATACTTGGCAGCTTATATCGTCATATTTAATTAATTAATTTCCAGAATAAAATGGAAAATGTTGTTTTCTTTTTTAGTGCAAAAAATATCAAAATGATAAATAAATGAAAGTAAAATGTGAATAATTTAATGTGTTAAATAATAATATATGTCGTACTACCATACTTTGGAATGTATTTTGAAATGGACAAGTTTTATACAATTTTGCGATCATTGTATAAAAGCTATTGCAATAATTTATTGATAATAATTTTTAATCATACGTTTCGTACATGTAGATTACCAAAGACTCGATAAACTGAAATATTAAAAACTTTTTTTTTTTTTTTTTTTTTTTTTTTTTTTTTGATTGTTTTATACAAAATTAAGCATTAGCGTAATTGTCATTTCTCGTTAATTCGTATAATATACATTTGAAATGATTTCGATAATTCGTTTTATGTGATTTATAAAACATAGTCTACTGATATATTTACTTCATATATTTTTGGCTCATTGTTAACGGCCAATCAATAAATAGTAAAAGAAAAAAAAAGTTACTATTTACTTTATTTTAAAGATTATCTTGTACATTTTTAATGAAATTATCGATTATAATTTTCATATCGATTGGTTAAAAAAAAAAAAACTAAAAAAAAAAAAACAAGTATTTATCGAATAATCGCGGGAGCACGAAAAATCGTTGATTTTTCAATTGAATTTTTTGTTTTAGTTGTTAATAACATTTGTGTAATCTTCGAAATAATAATCCAGCTATCCACAAACTAAAAATCAATTTCGCAATTAAGTAGAATTTTACTTAAAAATAGATACAAAAGGTATTTTTGCGGTTCGCGCAAAATTGCTTAATAGAAATTCTGATTTTATTCATTCAGAATGCTTTTCATAATTTATGCCACAATCTACTTAATGCCGAATGCTCTGAACATATATGCTTATAGAAATTTTTTTCCTCATAAATTGGCAATAATAGCGAGTAGGTTCATTTATCGAGCCAATCATATTGCAAATGTCGAAATCGAAATTTAATGACGATGAGAAAGAATCATATTATTATCGCAAGTGAATGAAAATATTTGAAAACTCGTGAAAAGAAGTTACAAATTAGTTAAACGTTATGTATATTTTATTTCAAAATAACATAATTAGAAATGAGCGCCCATTATCCAAGATAAGCTATTGATATGATTTATGCAAAGACTGTGCTGTCGTAGAGTAATTAAACGAATTCTCTGAAAGCATTCCGAAGTTATAAACGTGAATCTAGGAAATATAAAAACGTGGCTTCAAACATAATTATCATCGTGAATTTCTACCACTCGATTCTCTAAATGCCGCTCGTCTCCGAACCATCATTATTACGATTACTGCTCCACATTAAAGCCCATCTCCCGTACAATTAATTTAATCTTTATCGAGTACTCCCGATCGGCACCTCACGAGTCGAGCATCGGAAATGATAGTGAAAAACTGGCATTTCCTCCTCATCGAATGAGGCTGACATCGGCGAAGCTCGCCGATCCACTGCACGAAATAACTGTAGAAAGAAAAAAAAACGAACCTTCGAAATGCCCAAAGTGCATTCCGACCCAATTGGAGTGCCGCCTCAAAAGTGAAAGAGATTAGCGCGCGCGAGCCGAGTAGGAGCAAGCGGTGTTGGAGCGTCCTGATTGACGAAAGAGGTCAACCGCGCTTATCCGGCCCTTATCGAGGAGAGGCCTGATCAAAGCCCTAATAGTCCGCGCTTTCTCTGTCCAGGTCTGTCCTTGTACTTCGCCCTGCCGCGGCACACATTCGGCGAAGTCCAGCGCATCCTCTTCCCCCGCTACTTCACCCTCAACGCCTGCCTCAGCCTCACGACCCTCCTCATCTACGTGAAGCACCATCCGGCCAACAGCTGGGACACCGAGATCGCCGTACAGGTCAGTAATTGCACGCCCTCGAAAAGTGTCGAAAGTGTCTGTTGTTTGACAAAAGATCTCTTAAGTACTTGGACTTTAAATGATAAGCGTACCTTTAAGCTCGATTAAGAGCGTCTTTTCGATAAATGTAGATGCGCGCGTGGTGGTGAGGTCGTGGAGAGGTCGTGAAGAGGTCGTGAAGAGCTGAAAAGCTAAACTTATGAAACTGATAATCGGGATATAGATTTCATTACGAGCGAATGATTACGAATTTTTGATTTTTATAGAAAGCGCGAGTTTTTACGCCGTTCCGTTTTCGTGAAAATATTCTCAAATTTGTTCGGGTTATTTACTTGGAAAGTTACGATGCGATAATGAGGAAAACGAGTTTCGAGAAAACGGCGTTACAATGCAAAAAAAAAAATATATATATATATATATATATGTACGAGGCTTAACTTTCTCTGATGCGGGACCATCAGACTTTTCTCTGACTCGAGAACTTTGCTAAACACTCATCGGCATTGTACTATAAAAAGCGTTTTCTCTCCCGAAAACGACAATTAAAACCATAATCATACAACAGCTTTAACCTATAAAGTAAAAGCGGCGGCTCCAAATATTATCGCGCAAATCAATTTAGCACTCCTCTTTCGTATTAAATGGCTCGCGACCAAGTTGCGTGACTTACTACCATATTTTTATATTAACCGTTCAATGTTTTTTTGAAATGTTCCCTCAAGCTCGCGCGCCGGAATATCGTTAAGAGACTTTTTTTTTTTAACTATTATACGGTTTTGCAACGCTGACTGTTACGTCGCTCCACAATGTTCTAGAATTTTAAAATACGCAAAAGAATAAGAAAAAAAAATAACAGAATAGTATCGAACGTAAATGTCTCAACGATCCCTCTAATAACCACAAACTTACTTTTAAAAACATTGACTCGCTCTTAATAAAAATTCGTTGGAAGACGCATTTGAATTATTCGATTATTGGAAACGTTCGATTCGATCGCTTGGAAATTACCTTTTTTGCCTGCAAATTCAGAAAATATAATGCCCGATATAACTACCTTAATTACTGAAATCGTTCTAAAAAAAAAAAAAAAAAAAAAAACTTCCAAAGGCGTTTCAATCACTTCAATTTATATAAACATCTTGAAATAAAATACTCACGTAATACTGCGAATAATTAAGCCATTGGGCAGCCGTATCGATTCGCCATTATTCCATGTTCAATCCATTCATTAACGGTATAATGCTGTAATAAATGATTATTGCACGTTCGGTACATACAAATCATATCCAACTGTCCCCAAGCTCGTGAAACACACAAAACCGAATTGTTCATCCATTTAAAACGCCGCACTTACTATATTACGCCGACATCCATCGACGACAAACGGACGAACGTAAACGCTGAGAGAAGTGACAAAATAAGCGCGAATCTTGCAATTAATGCATAACAAATGTCAGGCTAAAGTCACTCGTTTGCCTAGGTTATCGGTATGGGTGGCGCCTTCTTCCTGGAGCTGCTGATCCGCCTCTACCTGACGCCGCCGCTACTGAAGCTCATCGACCTGAAGACGAGTTTGGAGCGAGCGGCAGGCGTTGGGGCCGAGATCGGACGACACGAGGCCGGACCCCTCAAGCACTGTCCCCACTATCTCAAGATCCACCGGGCCTTCCGCCGGATCCACATGACCATCGCCATGGGCAACATGCTCACGATGGCCTGCACCGTCTTCCACCTCTACTACATCGCCAGCAAACTTTGCGTACTCTAATTAGTTGCGCCCTGACGATCTTCTACCTCGCGCCTCTCAACCCCAACCTACCCCCTTCCCACCAACACGTTTCTTCATTTCAACCAGTTCGTAAGGGTTGAGCCGCTAAGAATGACGGGGGCCGAGATGCGAAACTCAAGGCAAATCTCGAACTTACGTTCTTCGCTCGATTCGCGCGAGGCCTCCGTCAATCTCGACCACCATAACCTCAACCTGGACGGTGACATACCCCTCCTCCCCCCACCCCACCCTCTACCGCCAACCGCCACCTTGGCGACCCCTTACCGATCTACGAAGCTTGATATTAATAGCCGACATTGAGCCGATATTGATATTAACAGC